TTTTTTCTCTAAGATTTAGGTATGCGGACATTGTTCTGTTATTGATCTCCGCAGATTTGTCACCATGATTTTTTCTGTACAAATTATTTTTTTATACAATTCTGCCATCACGCCCAAAGTTTCATATGCAATTTTTTTTTTATTTGAAACATACCGTTATTGAGTCTCCGAGAGCTGCCACGACGTTAATGTCTGCTGGGCGAAGTTTATGTACTGTAAATATCGAATAGAAGAATAGTCATGTTACACTGATATAACAATCATCACAGTGTCACAGTTTGAATATCGCGTTAATAAATAATGTTGTTTACATGCAATATTATATATGTGACATTTGATCAATATCGAACACGACGGGTCCCGGTAAATGTAACGCTTTAATTTGCCATCAACTAATATACACCAATGAGTGATTTACTCTCGGCACAACATACTTCATCTTTCACGAAGTTGAATCCATCCAGCCAATGAATGAGCGTAGAGCAAAACGACGTCAGTCCAACATGTTCCAATGATGTTCAATCGGCCAATAGAAACCTTTCGTTTCAATTTGAATTTTGAAAAGTATAAATATTTATAAAGATGAAGGGAATGGGTTTCTCGTGCCGAGAATAGTATATTTCTCAAATAAAGTCTCCCCATAGCTTATAACACATTAGATTAGGTGCGGTGGTCAACTGCAGCTACCTCGATAACATACCTGACGTGGGGATAGTATCCGATGGTGGAAGAATCTCGCAATTAAATTCGTTCAGAGATGAATGAAAATCTTTCTAAAAAACAATAAAACTAAATTATGACCTATTACACAGACAGGAATACGTTGATTAATAGTGGTAATTATGCAAACACTGCTGGTTATAGCTATTCAGCTGTTTTATTAGATGTACACACGACATGTTTACAGTCTTAATATGTTATCTGTAGGAGTACAAACACATGATAACATTGATGACCTGTTGCATATTATGAGACAGATTACAGATCAGGCTATATGTGTACCATTATCGTTCGGTAGTATCAATAACATGATTATGTTGTCAGATATAAAACACGCTGTTGGACAAAGTGGGCCATAGTGCACGAGTACAGCGTTGATGGACACTTTGTTATAGGCGTCGTTTTGATCACTTTATATCACCTATATAAAGAGCCATGTATTTTAATTTCAACACGAACTGCTAAAATATTAGCACCCCTGCCTGCATAATAACTTTTTTAAAATTTTACAACAGGTGAATTCTGTTGTGATTTATTATAAAGCGTGCATAGACTGCATATCGTCTCTATTCATTTGAACATTTTTTTAGTTAATTAACTCATGAATCTGAGCCAATTTCGGCTCACGCTCGTCTAGGAACTGGTGAAAAGAAGAATATTAATTAATGTTACTAATGTTACTTACAGTTTTCCACTCGTCGGGTGTATCAATGAGCTGAGCTAATTCGTCAGGATTCCGTAAATACGGAGATGCTACTGTAGATCAAATAAGTGGTGTTTTAGACCAAACTAAACGCATTCATGTAAATCCCAGTAACGATCGTATAACTATGACAAAGTGTACTGTCAACTTACATGATTCTTGGGAATCAACCTTTACAGAGTCAATTGATGGCAATAACGTGACTAATGCGAGGAAGCCGAATGCTGCAATTGAAATATCCATGATAACGCAGTAGAAGTAGTTCCACACTCGACAACGTAATGAAATGTAATGCAGTGCTACTACCCGGAGGATGATGTTTTATTAGATGATGTGATCAAATCACATGGTCAATATTTGAGGCATCATAAATGTCGAAGTTGACTACTTTAGCCTCGTTCTGAAAATCAAGCATGTTCAGCGTAGTATTGTGTATTTTGAGTATTTTTCTCAAATAACTAGGGATTTCCAAAAATATATTACACACAAATGTAATCACTAATTTCATTATCAACATCCTTTTTATGACCCTTACTTTCAATACTCTCCTTCCAGCTTCCCGTCTATTCCATGTTTATAGATTTCATCAGCAATACTCTTTTCACGCCCCTTGCGTTGTTTACTAATATTCCCTTCCACATTCCATTTACTCGCCCCTGCTTTCATCACCAGTATCTTTTCCACATCCGTTTTCATCACCAGAACTCATTCCACATTCCTTGCTTTCATCCATTTATACGTCCTTTGTTCTCACCCCCAGTACTCCCTTCCACATCCCCTGCTTTCATTATCAGAATTCCCTCGAATTTTTCGTATTTTTTTAATTATCATCACCAGTTTTCTCTCTCTCGTCTCTTACTTTCATCACTAATACATCACGTGGTATCCAATTACCCAGAAGGCCCTATAGCATTTTATTTATGGACATGGTAAAGATGGCAGTCTTTCTGTTCTGTGCATTACTATTACGCGGAGTACAATCGGATGAAAAACACAGCAGTAAGTGATTGTTGTCGAGTATTATCAAACATATAAATTATTATATATATATATTATGAATCGCGTCTTTAAATTTATTTGACTTTTTATGTTCTGTTATCTAACACATCTGAAGATGATCATATAAGTAAGTCTGAATAATGAATATGACATCTATGACCGATGAATTGTATAATACGACAGATAATGTCAACTGTAATACTTTGGAATTCTTGCAGAATAACTTAAAGTCAGAAACCACAATTTTTCTTTTGATATTATCTATGAATTACATACATGTACATACTTTTAGCCATATACCGTATATGGCTTTGTAACGACATTCCATCCCGCATACATCTACCAACCAGTAAGTTTAATAGGTACAGCTAGTTACCAGCACACGTAAGAAAGATCAAAATAGTATTGCAGTAGTTCAATCACACAACGGCTATTAATATAATATTCGACTTCACTCGTTATCGTATTATTATGTTTATCATTT